ACACACGGACTTTGGACTCCCATAGAACAATGTGAGGTGCACTCTCACCCCGAACTCTTGGGGAAGGGTCTAGGCCCTGCCCTATATGAAATGACAGACTATGGACACCCCCATGGAGGGCCTCACCCTCCCTGGGGGAATGAGGGGATAACGGGGGGGGGTTGGGGGGAGGGCACGGGAGGAGGGGAGGGAATGGGAGAGGGACCTGGAACTGACTTGTGAAGCAACCTCGTTTCTTATCTAAATTTAAACTGGAAAATAAAATATAAAAAAAAGAATATACAGAAGTGTCTATCTGCATACACATGACATACCACACACACACACACACGCTTCTACACATCTAAAAACGTGTACAGTAATATGTCTAGAAGCATTACTTATAAAATGATAAAAATGGAAATAATTAATGGTTCTACATATCCATTTATCTATAGATAAGTCTATGTACACACAAGTGTACTTTATACATATATACACATATAATAATGCAGATACTGTTCATTAGTTTTAAAAAGACAATATGAATGAACTTCAAAAATATACTGAGTGAAAAGAGCAGACTAAAAAGGTAATACATCTTATTTAACCAATTTAATGTTTTAAGTCAAGACATAACAGGGTTGTGAGTGGCAACTGGACCAAACTTCAGTGGGCATAAGACACTGTAGGGAAATGGAAATACTCTAATATTTAATTGTGATGATGACTTCACAGCTCTGTAGATAATATTAAACCTCGATGCACTATATAATTATAATAGTAAACTTTATGATAGATAAACTTTGCCTCAATAAGCTGTTTAAAAATAATTTTCTCTTGTGGATTCTTGGGAATTACCCTAGCATCAGGTTTCCTTCCATATGTGGGAGACAGTTGTGAAGCTTGAACTAGCTGAGGGGGCCCCTGGCAGTAGGACCATGATACAAACCTAGTACATGAGCTAACTTGTTAGAGCCCATTCCTTAGGGTGGGATGCCATGCTCAGTGGCAGTAGGACCACAGTAAAATCTCGGTACATGAGCTAGCTTGTTGGAACTCACTCCCCATGGTGGGATGCCATGCTTAGTCTTAATGCGTGGGAGAGGGGCCTGGTCCCGCCCTAACCTACTGTGCCTATGTTGACTCCTCATGGGAGCCCTTACTCATGAGGAAGAGTGGCCTGGGGTGGGCTAGGGGGGGAGGCAAAGGGGGTGGGAAGAGGGGTAGGAGAACTGTGGAATAGAAGGTTGAGTTGGGGAAGAACAGAGGAGAGCAGGGTGAGAGATACCACTATAGGTTTGAGGAGAGATCTAACACTAGTCAGATTTCCAGAGATCTACAAGGATGACACCAACTGGCAATCTAACCAATAGTGGGGAGGCTACCTTAAATGCCCTTCCCTGATAATGTATACTATCTTAGAGCCTCCATCCAGTAGCTCATGGAAGCAGAGGCAGACACCTACAGCTAAGCACTGAACTGAATCCCTGGAAACCAGTTGTAGAGATTGAGGAGTGATGAGCAAAGGGGTCAAGACTGAGCTGGTGAAACTCATAGAAACAGCTGACCTGAACAAAGGGGAGCTCATGGACCCCAGACTGATAGCTGAGAGGCCAGCATGGGACTGATCCAGACCCCCTGAACATGGTTGTCAGTGTGGAGGTCTCAGCATTCTTTGGGGCCTCAGGCATCCAAATAGTCTTTGGGAGCCCATTCTACATGGAGGGATGCTCTCTCAGCCTGAACACAGAGGGCCTAACCCTGCCCAGGACAATATGACAGACTTCGGAGATCCCCTGTGAAGGGCCTCACCCTCCCTGGAGAGTGGAGTTGGGATTGGGTGGGGGGTCGGGGCGCAGGGAGGAGGGGAGTGAGAGGAAACTGGGATTGACATGTGAAGCAAGCTTGTTTCTAATTTAAATTTTAAAAAGTTAAAAAAGGTAAATGACATAAAAATTAAAAAATGGAAATAAATTATAACACTTAGAAAAAATTTCCCATTGTCAGGCTTGTAACCCTCATTAGCTATGTAATAACAGTTTTATTGAAATATTAATTCACATCTCATACAAGCACACATTTAAAGGATAGAATTCAGTGGCTTAATGATGTTTAGCATCTTCATAGTTATGCAAATTGTAAACCATTTCAGAACTCTATCATTAGCTCTCTTCTCCACCCCCAATCAGTCATCCTTTAGCTCTCATTAACTAATGATTTCCTTCCTGTGTCTACAGATTTGCTCATTCAGTTCCTGTAAAGAGTGCACACAGTGGATGGCTTTTTTCTCTTAACATGTTTTGGTTACACCTATGTGAACAAAAGGCAAAAGTAATGTACTATGTTATGATATACATGGGTAGTTCCTTATTCTATTATATTAATATGGCACATTTTATTTATGTTTGTAAACTGATGAAAATTCGGGTTATTTTTGCATTGGGGCTATTATAAATAGCACTGCTATGTGTATTTATGGACATTGTTTTGTTCATATGTTTTCATTTTTTGTGCATATATCAAGGAGTTTAAGTGATGGACGTTGTAGTAACTCTTATATTTAACCTACAAAGACACTTGTAGATTGTCATCCCAAGTGGCTGCTACGTTTTACATTCCCATCAGCAGTGAAGATTCCAGTTCCATCCCCCACTTCTTATTTAACATGTTTTATCTTAGTGGGTATGGAAGGGTATTTCACTGGGATCTGTGTTGTCATTTTCCTTATAGTTGATGATTGAAACTGAACATCTTTTAAAGTGTTCACTGGTCATTTGCATATATTCTTTTAATACATTTCTACTCAGGGGATATTGGCGGCATTGGTGGGAGGGCACGGGAGGAGGAGAGGGAAATGGAGAGGGACCTGGAATTGACATGTGAAGCAATCTTGTTTCTAATTTAAATTTAAATTTAAAAATAAAAAAATATAAAAAAAGACATTTCTACTCAGGACCAGTGACTATTTTAATCAGTTGTTTAACTTTCTCTATCACTGAAAGTTCCTGTTCTTTCTCCTAGATACAAACCCCTTATCAGATATATAATTCATGAACATTTTCTTCCTTTATGTGAATTGCCTCCGCTTACTTTATTGCATCCTTTGCAGTGAAATCATTTACAAATTTCAAAAGAGTTCAATTTATTTATTCTTCCTTGGTTGCTTTTGCATATTTAGATCTTTGATTCATTTGGAGTTAAGTTTCGCATGTGCAGTCAAAGCTGTTGATACTAAAGAAAGTTTAACACACATGTTTGGAGACCTGGAGGACAGATAAGAAAACCATCTACCACAAGGGGTCACATGAACAATGTGTTTGCATGCAATTTTCTCTCTGGTTAAATTCTAACCAACGGAATGAATGCAAAATGAATTTATATAAAGTGATCATTTATAAAAATGAAATACCATTCACTCCCCATTCTTCCCTTTCACATGGCATACCTTTAGGTACTTTGACATTAACATTTTTGACCATAGAGATGAAGAAAATTTGTTGAAATGATTATCTATTATGATTGAATGTTAGAATCATCAAAGAGGCTTCAATGAAGTACTGACATTTGGCTTTTGTTGTTATTGTTGAGACAGCAGCTCGTTATATAGCCCAGGCTGGCCTAGAATTCAAAAATCCTCCCACTGTAGCCATTAATACAGGGATTACAGCCTGGGCCCTGTTAACTTCTGGCTCTTGGATCTCGCCTCTGGACTGTTGAGAAAGTTGGACTGAGACACGGCATAGAAATCATAGTGTTAAATGCTACCTCAATAAATCTAACTCTTAGCCAAGGTTAAGAGCTCTACTCTGGGGAATGATTTCTTGAACTTTAGAACACACATGCAGACGTCCCCTAGGCCAGTCTTCTCAACCTTCCTAATGCTGTGACACTTTAATATAGTTCCTCATGTTGTGGCGACCCCAACCATAAAATTATTTCATTGCTACTCATAACTCCAATTTTGCTACTGTTATGAACTATAATGTACATTTCTGATATGCAGGATATCTGAAATACAATGCCCAAAGGGGTCATGACCCACCAGTTGAAAACCACTGACTTAGGCAAATAGCTCGATAGCTCTGACTCCCTGGACGCCCTATTCAGTGGAACTGAGGTCAGAGTTGCTGTTGTATATGTGTAACAGCTTCCTATGCGGAGCTGCTGAGTCCGTAAAGGAACACATTTCAGGAACCTGTGGGAGCTGCTAAAGCAGCAAGAGAGAGGGGGCCTCCACCCCAGGAGCTGGGCCTGTTTTCTCCTAAGTCACCTGACTACTCCTTACTGTTATCAGGAGAAGTGCCATTTATTCTGCTCCGCAGCTAGTGCTGCCATAAATTGCAGTGTTCTAACTACAGAGTAGCAGAAGTGAAGAGGTGAGGAGTTCTCACTTAATGCCGATTCACACGTACAACTTGTACCCTCTAGGCTTTAAAGAGTTTCCTACATGAGGAAGAGTGGCTTGGGTCACTGTATTGATTCCAGCAAGATCAGTTCCTCATAGTAAAAGCATCCTGAATTCTATTTTGGCAACATGTTGAGGCTGAAGGGTTTACCATCCAATCAGGCAGTTTAGCTACTTTTCCCAGCGATAGCCCCAGTCTTAGTTGGGTAACTTAAGGCTTCCAAAGCACATGGAACAATTCTGAGTGATACAGAAAGCCTTTCTAAATAATTTGGAGGGTTTGAGTCAGTTTCTCTCTATCCCTTTGTCCCTCCATATTCTGCAAATACAAAAGGATTTAAAAAAACACTGATTTTTTTTACACTTACTTTTCATTTTGCAAAGACCTTAGCTATTCTTTGTATTAATTAATTATTCATTAACCCAAGCAATCAGTGTGGCCTTTGACACATTGGGTAATGAGTGAAGCTGGTAGGTTACCTATGGGGCAGATTAATCTCTCTCTGAGAAAAAAAAATGTAAAGGTGATTGTAATGTCTTCCCCCAAACATTACTGGTATCAAAAGGAGATGTGTGGGTGGGTTTGGAAGAGAAAGGGAAGAGGACAAAGTACCTGACAAACTGGCTGAATAAGGCTGTTGTGTTCCGGATGATGCGAGCAGCCTGGGACTCCTCCCGCTGGCACCTCTGCAATGTTAATCCGTCATCCATGTGGCCTTCCTGATGGAGTATGACCTACCCACAGATCACGGGAACAAGTCCAGGTTATACATTACTCCACAGCTGGGCCACCCACATTTTCTGTGGTGTTTCTTTATTATTCTTTTCCCTACCCAAGCTCCCCTGAGTCCATTTTGAGAATGGGACATTAACAAAGTTATTTTGTCCATATGCCCCATTACTGACATGTGAATTATTCCCACAACCTGGGGGTTTGATGAGAATGAAGTTTTATGTGCCACCATGGTATGAGCTACAATAAATTTCCTGTGCCTGGATGGCCAATTTGAAGGGAGAAAACATACTTTTATAACAGATTTTTTCCTCTTTAAAATGAACACAGGGGATTGCCCTTTGGAGAAAGGGAAAGTCCCTTTGTTTAGACCTTTCTCCTCCATATGTAAACCGGGCAGGAGCAATTCAAAGCAAAGCTCTCTCTTGGGATCAGGGTTGGATTTCTCTACTGAAGACCAGCTATGGCATGTTAGTTAACTAGAAGATGGCCAGGGAAAGTGGGTTAAGTGGGAGAGTATTTCTTATGGAGCTGATTTCAGGGCATGGGCTCTCATATCAGGTACCATTTTTTTTCCAGTCCTGTTTGTCTACTTGCCAGCTGAATGACTCCAAGAACGTACTGAAACATTCATCTTCTAGGCCACCATTTGAAAATATTGTAGGGCTGTTTGGAGGTTAGGTGATTTACATATACATCAAGATGACTACTAGAAAGTAAAAGGCGCTCAAGGGATATTTACTATATGGGCAATAACACTGATCTTTGGCCAGTTCTCAAGAAGCTGTGAAGACTTACTGATCACCAAGGACATCATGATAGATAGATACATCTTGGGTAAAGCTAGCAGCTTTTGGAAAGGGCTAATTTTTCCTTTTAACATGGTTCAAGTATGTGCAGGTGGTAAGTGGGGGGGGTTGACCCTGGTTCAAGGTAAGGTCAAATCCTGATCTAAATTCCTGATCATAGCAACATCTTGTGAAAGTGAGGGACCATGTAGGGTCCTGGAGTTTAGTCTCTGTGTCAGGATCTTCAGTTTAAAATCAAAGCTAATTTCATTTTCATGTGAAAACCTCTTTCTTATATTTTTGACCAAGCCTAATATACTGAAGTCACATAAGAAGTAAGATACAGGCTTGGAAAAGTCTATGTTCTCCTTAAAAAGAAACTTTTTATCCCATGTGCATAATGAAGGTTAAGCATTACACAGGGTGCCTAATCATTGGACTCCTCAGCTTTTAAGCATTATTATTTTTTCCAGACCTTCCAGGGGTCTGGTTAACAATGTGCAATTTAGCAACACACTCTTACTATACTATGTATAGTTTGTGTTGCTCCTGGTTTTCTGGTCCCCAAAGACCAATATTCTTAGGGTTTTGCTTGTTCAGATAACATGCAAACTGGACAGACAAACCAGAAGGTAATGAGGACTGGGAACACTAGTTATAATGTGGCTGTTTAAGTGTCTATTGATCTCCAGGCCCAGGTTCTTAGACCTTAATTCTCATTCAGATACAATGCATAGGAGCACTGCTTTTAACAGGAGCTACTGTTTCTCAGTTTCTTCATTACAATTGTCCTTCCTGGGTTTTAGTCATTTCACACAGATCTGGACACTTTAGAGGGAAAACTTGACCTGTTCCTTTGAAACATGGTATTGTTCGTCTGTCAATAGCTAACTGTTAGAATATCACATAGAAGATGTCGCTCCCAAATTTGTATACATGTTCTAGCAGTTAGCTGGGTCTATGGGCAGGAAAAGACACACTAAATCAACAATGCAGTCCAACCTATTTTCATGTGGACAGAGTCCCTTTCCATCTGGAGGCTCAGCCTTAAACTCACAAATTCCACATTAGCATTATCATGGCTGTAGTAAATGCAGAAAACCAAACAGCCTGTCAAGATATTACAATACTTTACAGACTACTGGGATAGGCTGCAAGAGGATGGGCTTGGGCAGATGTTTTCAGTTTTCCCTTATTCTTAGAGTATGTAACTCTATGTCTTTGAATGGGGTCTCATCCAGACTCATTGAAAGCCTACTGTATTTCCCAGGACCATCTCCATGTGAAAGATAGTTACTGACGACTTCTGTCTCCTTAGGACTGTCATACTGTCTTTCTCTGCTGTGTGCTCTTCCATCACAGCTGTGTGACATCCTGTTTTTTTGTCTTGCCCACATAGTCCACACAAGAACAGTTTAGGATCCTATGAAAAATTTCACGTAAAATTTCAGGCTGTGTCCAACGCTACCTCTACTTGGGGATTTGGGTCCTAGAAATCACGGAACTACTGGCTGAACTTGTGTCTATACCCTGTCTCTTTACCACAGTAGAGCCAACCTAAGACCTTCCTCCCTAGTCTACAGATCAGCAACTGTGTGGATGAATAATACAAAGATCAAAGTGGGTATTTTTTCATGTCTACATATTCTCGCCTAACTAGCAGGACTCGAATTCAAGGGATCTTGGTTGGTAAAACCTTCCTATTACCATACAGCATGGTTCCAAAATCCTATAAGAACTATAATTTGGAGATATTATCATTATTGCTTTAGGGCAATATGGCAGGACTATTGACTGTAGTACTTCTTATAATCTCATTCTGGGTTTCCTTTACTAATCAAACATACATTTTGAAAGGATATTCCAAGAAAACCATACCCTTGGCATCTATTCCCTTGTTCCTATAAAAAGAGTTACTATTATGGCAATTGAAAAGATGCTACAAGTATCCAAGTTCTTATCTCTCTGCACTTTGGTGTCTGTAGCCTCATTGTTATGCAAACCTTATTTTCTCCATAGACATTCTAGTCAGTCTCCGTCTTATGAAAATAGTATAATAACTCTATTAGCCACTTAAATGAAGGGAGCAATGATGCAGATAATCCCAAAATAGTGGAACTACCAAGAGCCATTGAGACTGAGTTTCAGAGCTAATCGAACAATCTCCAGCTCTTCCCCACAGAGTCGTCATGAATAGTATACTCTAGAAAAATGAAGATGGGGTTACAGTGACCAAATTAGCCTAATTTACTGGAGAATTATGTATAATCTGTCACAGAACCCTTCTTTAGAACAGTAACAGGTAAACCATAGGTATGCCCACCCAGTCCTCAGAATCGCTTCAATGGCCTTGCTGTACCCACTCATTGTCAAACAACCCTAGACAAGCCTCAGACACTTTACCTTTCTTTTCAGGGGTCCCAGGCGGGACGTTTTGGCATCTTGTGCTTTGTAGGTGACCCAAAGGCCACTGGCCAAATGTTGGACAAAGCAGATAGAGTCTCCATACTTAATCTCTGGGACTCCCATGCCTTCTGTGTCTCTCTTGTGACTGGAATCCAACTTCTCCTTGATTTCCTATTACACACACACACACGCACACACACACACACACACACACACACACACACACACACGAGAGAAAGAAACAAACAGATGTATGATTACATAGCAACTCAATATATGAAACAAATAACTTGTGTAGCATCTGTAAGATAAAAAGCTATTACCCAAAAAATAATGGTATCTCCAAGCCAGGAGTTTAGAAAGGCTGGCTTCCTTTATCTGCTGTTAATTGTAAAATTAGCGCATTGAAGATTCTGGTCTCTTCAAATGTATTTAAAACCATGGAAAGGAAGCAGTTGGTAGGTTTCTTATTCTATTCTGATTTTACATGCTTCTTTACTATATTTTTACTTTCCTCATCCTAACATAGATATGTTAACTGGTAACTTTTAAGTGGTCAGTGAACTCATTTTCAGTCATTGATATCTTCCATAATTTAAATGCTTATCTTCCACCAATGCCACGATTCAGGAGCTTAAAGACATCACCTGTTAATATCATAAAATCACAACAGCCAGGAAATGTGTCTACAAACTGATAAATGGATAATGAAAATGTGGTATATTTATACAATGGTGTATTAATCAGCTGTTAAGAAAAGTAAAATTATGAAATTAATAGGCAAATGGATGGAATTAAAAGCAACCATTCTGAGTAAGGCAACACAGACCCAGAAAGACAAATGTTACATGCTTTCTCTCATTTGCGGATGTTATTTTTGTATCTTCAGATATGTGTATTTCATTATGAGTACCTATAGATGTCAAAATATTAGTGAGGGGGGACTATGGGGGTACTCTTAAAGGAGGAGAGATAGAATTCAGTGGCATAAGGGGTTAAAGGAAAATAATGGAGAAGGGATTAAACTGGAGTTGGGGGAGAAAATGGGAGTAGAGAAGAATTTGGGGAGGGATAGATAAGACTAAAGACCTTTTGAAAAAGTCATATGGAAACCTACTGCTATTGAAACCTGTTCATACATACATACATACATACAGACAGACAGACAGACAGACAGACAGATAGAGATAGATAGATAGATAGATAGATAGATAGATAGATAGATAGGGCAAGAAAGATGACAGAGAGTGAGAGGATATATAGAGAGGGAAGAGAGAGACAGATAGGGAGAGACACGGAGAGACAGAAGGAATGAGGGACAGAGAGAGACAGAGAGACAGACAGAGAGAGAGAGAGAGAGAGAGAGAGAGAGAGAGAAGACAGTGAGATGACACAGAGAGAGGGAAGAGAGAGAAAGAGAGACAGAGAGGAAGAGATACTTAGACAGAGGGAGGGAGGAAGGGAGGGAGAGAGGGAAAGAGAGAACACATGCTAAAATAGAATTACTCTATAATTGGGGTGATGATGTCCCTATTAGACATCAGACTAACAAATAAAAATCATAGGAATGAACTACCTCTTTTGTAGTTGTTGGCCAGTGAGTTTCCACAGACCCCCAACTGAGAAGTATTGGGGGGATGAATACTATTAAAACACATTGTATGGAATTATAAAAGAACTAATAAGAAGGTAAAAATAAGTCAAGAGAAAGACTTTTTTTGTGCAAGTAGGGAGCACTACTGTGCTTTAAGGTAAAGGTCATTGGTATATTAGTTTCTTATGTTGCAATTGGGATGTTAAATATTCCCCAGTGGCCATTTGTGAGAGGCTTGCTTGTCAGCCTGGGACATGATTGGGAGGTGGTGTCATGTTTAAGATGAAGAGCCTGGTGGGATGAGATTTGGTCTCCTTTGGTATGCTGTTGTTGAAGATAGAAGAACTCTAGACTCTTTTTGCTTTTGGTTGCCATGAGTGAATGCCTTCTTTGTCATTCATATTCTGCCATGACAGATCCTCTGACCTCATCACAGAGTTCAAAATAGTGGAGCCAGCAGCCCATGGGCTGAAAATTCTGAAACTGTGAGCCAAACTAACCCATCCTCCTTCCAGCTTTCTCCTGTATGTTTCCAAAGGGAAGGGAAGCTGACAAGGGGCCATATTCAGTTTCCTTCTTCAGTGTCCACTATTTTCCCATCCATTCTCCAGTATGGAAATAGGACTTACGTATTAAGTAAGCACCCTGTGACAACCTGATGTGCCTGCCACATGAAACAGATCCCAAAGCATAGCAACTTCGTTCCTTTCCTCATCAATTAGGGCCTCTCTGGTTGGAGTCTAAAATTCTATCTCCATTTCTTTTCTCTATATTGCATTAAATTGCTTAGTTGTAAGAGTTGTTAACTACAGAGTACTTTGAATACTTTTTTTTGCAGAATGAAAAATGTGTCATGCAATTGCCTTTGATTGCAACAACATTCCTCCTCTACTTAACGATGGCCATCTTGTTGCTGAGTCTTTGCCATGCTCAGCACCAGCTTTAAGTTATTTACAGATGCAGGTATTATGTCATCACAGCAAAGCCTCTGATGGAGCTACAAGTATTGTTCTAGTTCTATAGAAGAGAAAAATGAAAGAAATACTTTGCCCGAGGTCACTCAAACAGGAATGCAAAAATGCAGTCAAAATGTTAGGGTCTAAATGGGATTTGGGGAGGGGAACCCTTAACTAGAATATTGTATGGAAAGATTGATTTCAATAAAAATATAAAAAAGAAGTCTGCCTCTATTTGTTTAGATAAAAGATAAAAATTGGCAAAGAGGACATGAAGTTAGGAGGGAGATATAATTGAGGTAGGAGATGGGGAGTGGAAAGGATATAATCAACATACATTTTATATGCTTGACAAAATCAAAAAAACATTTAAAAACTAAGAAATATTCACCTCTAGCATCTGTATTTTCTCCATTAGTCTAAAGGAGACTCAGCTTCCAATTCTCTCTGTAGATGTCACTTAGTCTGTTAGGATAGCTAGTGTCTCTGGCTGCATCTCCCCAGCATTACCTAATTCCTCTACATTAGCATATCAGAATGAATCTATGAAAGGAGTCAGGGCAATCAATGAATTGTGGATTCTTAATAGAAAGCTCAGTACCTATATTACTTATGGAACATTTGTGAGGTAACATGCACAGCTGAGCAATTTATTCTTCCATGTGTATTTATTTTCTACTTCAGTTCTTACTTCTTTTCCCTCAGACTTTCATAAACTGAAAATCAGTTACTTTATATGTACATAAAATATCAATTTAAGTAGTATTAATATTTCATAAGAAATTTTTTATTTTAAATGTGTGCTGAGGCGTTGGCTAAAATGTTAAAAATACTTTACTTCTCTAAATATACTAAACATTTCTGATTTTGTAACATATATGGGTAGAAAAACAGATTTTGATATATCATGATTTTCTCTATAGACAACTGGTCAAGAATGCATTTATTCTATGAAACAATGCACACTTGATTTTCATAATGGAAATATCCACAGTCCTGTAGATGTTCCAGCCAGTACCAGGGCTTACAAGATGTCAAAAAATTTTATCTGTTGCCTACTCTCTATCTATAGTCAACACATTAAAATAGAAACAACACAAAAGACAGCTGTTAAATGTGGTAATTATATGATTCCTAATTGCTCCTGGTGAAAATAATGCATATTCTCAACTAGCAATTTTTTTTCTCATTTTTTGTTTACTTAAATATGGTTTTTCCAAAGTAAAATAAATAGGAGGCTCCACTTCCTGAATCACTGAAACAAATGAGTCACCGTTCTAGTCTATAGTACATCTGTGCCTTTGCTTTCACAAAAGAGCATCATCTTCCAGAGTTCTGCCATGGTCACTGTGGTGGCTGCTTCTCATTTAGAAGAAGAATAACAACAAGAAAACTCAGATATCAATGTCAACAAACACAAAACCCAAATTAACCCAGCAGTTCACAACACTGATAAATCACCAAGGAAACAAAAGAAGTTCACCAGTGTTAGGAAGCTTGACTGGATTCACTTGACTGCCTATGACTTTAAACCTCAGCTCCTCTTTTATGTGACCAGGACCTCAGATGCAAGCGTCCTGTTGCTAGAAATGGCTCTTTCCTGAAGAATAGGGCAACTAGTTTATTAATTGCCTCCATTCAGTTGCCGAGTTCTAAGAGAATACAATCCACATGTCTTATGCAACATATGCTTTTAATAAACTGGGTTATGAGTGACAGCTTTTTCACTTCAGTGTTGGGGATCAAACCCAGGGATTCCCAGATTCTTGGTAAGTGCTTTACCACTGAGTTCTACTCACAGCTCTAGGGCACATCTTCATGTATGTACCAGGTGCTTCTTTTCTTTGGGTTTTTATTGATATTATTACTTGAATCACCTGGTCACTTGTGTAGTTTTACAATGCTAATGTTTGTATCCTAGCATCTTCTTCCTATGTTGACACTTTGGCATTTTTGAAACTTATTTGAGTAGGGGAGAGACCTGGGGTTCTTTTTTATTTTTATTTTTAAATTAGAAACAATCATGTTTTACATGTCAATCCCAGTTCCCTCTCCCTCCCCTCGTCCCTTGGCCCCTACCAACCCCCTATCCCATCCCTTTCTGCTTTCTGGGGAGAGTGAGGCCTTCCATGAGGGATCTTCAAAGTCTGTCACATCATTTGGAGCAGGGCCTGGGCCCTCCCCTGTGTGTCTAGGCTGAGAGAGTATCCCTCTATGTGGGGTTCTTAAAAGGCTCCACAGTATACTTGCTACATGCACACTGAACAATCTAGAGCCAGACCTCCTCTGTAATGACGCTATACCCAGGAAGCAACATCCCTCTGCTTTATCATCCCTGGGTCAGCTCCCAGGTAGCTAGGGACACCTCTATAGCCAAAATTACTCCAACTAGTGAACTTCAAACAGCCTGTTTTTGCCCATGGAAACTCCAGCAAATGTGACATCATAAGTTACTCTCTAAGTCTCTCTCCAACCCCCACTCCCTTATTTCCCACCTCCTAACCGCCCTTCCTCCTTCTGATAGGTAGTATTGCTCTGCTGAATGACCCTGCATGCCATGTCCTGCCTCCCAGTGCTAGGACTAGTGAGAATAACCAACTCTTTCCCAGAACCTTTCTCAT